AAAATATACTTTTAGGGAATAATTTCTCTTTCTTAAAAAATATAAAAGCCCTTGATTCTGTCCTTACTTCATTTGCATTCTATTCTATTCTTTAGGATTGAGGAATGAAAACATTAATTTTCAACATTAGCCTCAGCCAACATATGAACTGTATCATAGGAGTGGGATTTATTTTTTTATCATATTAACTGCCAGTTTCTTCAATCTATAAATTGCTTGCAACCTTGAAAATAATGTGTAGTGATTACAATATCTCTGGGCACAAAACATATCTTCTCATCACCAGTCTGTCCTGTGTCCCAAGGACTATAACAGTTTTTGGAATTCTTTTTCTGTTTGTGATAACAATCATAGGAATTTTAGTTGTTACTTAAAATGCACCTCACATAATATAACTTTTCCATGTGTCTGTATGTAGTTCTTTTTTTATTATCATAAAGCAGTTTTACTGCATAAATGACTTGAAAAAATACAAAAGGTATGTACAACTTACATAAATAAACTATTAGCTTATCTGTTCAACACTATTCAGATACTGTTCAGCACCATATTAATTCACAAAGTATAATGCAGTTGACTGTAGAAAGACTAACAACAGGAGTAGTAAATCTCCAGAATGATATCTGAAATCATATATGACTGAGAAGAATTAAATGACTGAGACACATTTTATCACTGATAAACTGATCCAGCTATCTACTCTAAGGCTCACATTGTATTGCCTGGAAATTTTATTACATTCTTGTAGAATAGAATCTCCAGTTTAGATTTCTGATTACTTTCCATTATAGCAGGCAAAACTTTAGTTGTTAAGCATGAACATAAAAATGTAATCTATGGATAAATACCTTTCTTTTAAAGGTATTTATTCCTACAATTTTAAAAAGATCAAAATTCATCAAAATTAATATACAATAAGAAAAAAAAACAATGAGAAACCTAAAAGTACAAAAAAAGTAAAGAAAAAATAGAAAAGTAAGAATAAAGATACTTCCAATCTTTTTTACAGCAGTGGCAGTACAATTATAAACTTACCTTTTACTCTACCGTTATAACTCTCTTCTTTCTGTAATCTGTCTATCTAATCAAAAACTAGAGATCATAAATTCAATTTTTTCTATTAATGCAAAAGTTTCCAATCAGCAGTAAACATAGATACTGTTTTTTCTCTGATTAAAGAGAATTACAGGATTTTAAAGATTAATTACAACTGAGACTAAAGGTATTTTGGGGGGAAGGGGTGATTGATGGAGTTGAAAAATGTCATGCCTTTTAGCAGCAAGATTATTATATACACAAAGATAGAAAGATTCAGTACTATCTCAATGGAGGAATGGTTGGTGAAGATGATGGAACTTGCTCAGATGGCTAAATTGACCCTTTTTCTCAATTTCACTTGAAATTGTTTCTTCTGTACGTTTTGTTGAGAATTCATGCTGTTCTGGATTGCCAGGACATTTATTCTGGTTCTAACAGATTTAGGAAAGAAATCAGTAAATAATCCCACTTGTTTTAAAGGTGGAATTAAAACCTGCTGTGAGCCACACAGAGTGAATTAAAACCCCTTCACTATACCTCTGAAATCAGGACAAAAGCTGTCTTCAGGTATTTTGCTAAGTTCATCTTTAAAGTGGGTAGAGAACAGGTTGAACACTTGGCACTTCCTCTTTACTTTCATTGAATTCCACTCTTTAGTCTGAAGAACAATTGACCTAGCATTTGCCTGATTCAGGAAAACATTCCACCCCCAAAATACATTCATATAAATATTACTATTTAACTATATATATACCCCACACTTTTCTTTATAGAAGCAGTCAAGGAAGATTACAACCATCAAGTTAAAAATGCAAAATTCAACAATAAAATCAATATAATTAAAATTAAAATCAAATACTCCCAATTATAATCAGTTTAAAGCTTTAAAAAAATTGGCAAAGGAGATGCATCATTGCCATTTTTCTAATAGGAGAGTAGTGCATCCCTGGAGAAAGCATTCTGAGAGTCATATAGGGAAGACCTGTTCCCATCTTCCAAATGGCTGAACATATGGTATCAATGGCATCTTCAAAGGGGTCTCTCCTGCTGATCTAAGTGGTTATGCAGGTTCACAGTGGGAGAGATGTCCCTCAGATACTAAAGCTCTTCATATCTTCAGTTGTGGAAGAACTGAATGGAGTCAACATGTACTCCCTATTGTATGTATACCAGTTTGAACTTCTCCATATATTCAGATGAGCAGTAGAAAAGGTCAGATTAAAAACAACTTCAGCATGTTCTATGATCTCCCCAGTATCTGTGATATCTCTATGAATATATTGTTCCAAACAGTGCAAAAGGCCATGAAATGCAGAGTCGCAGTTCCCTTAATTTCTAGATTTCAGCTGTTATTCACTGGTAAGGAACTATTGCAACTAAAAGCCTATCAGCTTTCCCCAGAGCCCAAGAGAGGGGAACCAGTGCAAAATTCAGAAAGCTTCCTACTGAATATTTCAGGAGGTTTATCCTGAAATGAAATAAAGCAATCATTCATATCAAAATAAAATAACCAGAAATACATGCCTAACATACTGTATTTGAAATACCTGAATAGATATACTAAATCCTTAGTTAGAACAATCTTAATTGTTATTTTAATATAAAATAAATCCACCTTTAAAAAAAAACCATTATTTTGAAATATTTGCAGGCTCATTTAATAAAAAACATTTAAGAAGAACAGACATAATAACTTATTTATAATTTACTTCCAAATACACATCCTTAAGATTGCTGAATCTTTTGCAGGATCATATATGCTGAGCCACAATCTGATCTGACTGATTCACAAATAGCTTTGCATATTGTACAAAGCTAAAAGCAATTGCAAACTTACCATTATAATGGTTATGTTTTGAACAAAATAAAGCAAAATTTATCTGGGATGAAAAGATATAATAAATATATTTTAGAATTTATTAATTTTCACTAAAAAAAAACCCTAATTTTTGCAAGCATGTAGCTGTTCTCTTTTATCATACTTCTTGAACAGAAAAAATGAAAATGAAGGAAAAGTCATGTCAATTTCCAATATCTGGAGGCATTCTTCATTGTTTCAAATAAAATGTCTGTATGTTGAAGAAAAACAAACAGAAAGGGTATTGCCACAAAAATTATTTTTAAAAACAGTGTGTGCTTTTTAATGGAGTGTTCAGCTATTTCTCAGTCCAATTGCAGTTAATAGAGGATTTTAATGTTACAAGATTAACAGCTCTGGTTGATCTATTCATCCTAAGATGTCTGATAGAAACTAAAATGCCGTCTACATTGAGAGATGAGATTTTATTCTTTAGTGTTCCAGAATGGGTTTAGGCACATAATTGAAATTTATAACAAGAGGCAACTGCTGAGAACTTTCTTTTCCTCCTCCTCATCTCTTTTACAAGATTTAAGGCAAATTCCATATATAACTGGCGAGATCCCATAGCCTTGTGCAGATATGTCCCACAAAGTATGGTTTTTATTCAAGATGAAATTTCTATTTGAATTGGATCCAATATTGATTTCACAATTTTCCACAGCTCCATCTCAACCCTCACTTTCTTATACTCCTGGTAAATAAATAATAACTGTTTTTCAGTTTGGAAGGAATAGTTGCATAGGATTCTTGTACACAAGAATCACACAAACACATAACTATATTGGTATACGTTGAAACAGAATACAAGAGATGAAGAATTAGATGGTTGTATGCAAAGCCAGTGTTTTGGGTTTTCTTTTTTTTTTTTTTTTTTTACATTTTCTTCATTCACTTCAGTTTTCACTGTAACATTTATTTCAAGTTGAAACAAAATCCCTCTACATTTTCAGGAACTGGATTTGAACCCAGCTACTGTTTTATAAAAAATAATTAGGTCCTTTCCAAATGGCAAAGAGGATGCCCACACCAGTCCCCGCTGTCTTGTATGTTTAGCTTTCTCAGAGTAGTTTTGTACATTGAAAGTTTCACAGATGCTTTTAAAGTTAATTTTAAAATGTATGCGTTGCAATCTCAGCGATTCTTTTTAATCTCTAGAATCAAACTGAAGTCATATATTTAGATGAAATGAAATGATAAAACTATACCATGAATCAGCCAAAAAAAATGTTTGTACTCTAGCATCCTGTTACTAAGGCCATCCATCCAGATGATGGTAATTTATACGATGCATGTTGCTTGCTCCAACTGGTATGTATTCAAACACGCCCTTTTCTAAACTCAAGGCTGAGCTAACCTTACTACCCTTATCCTACATGAATTTGTTTAATGCGTTTTCTAAATCTGGTGTCTTCCAGTAGTATTATATGATTTTCATTCCCCAAATTTCCAGCCAATAATTATTGGCTGGAAATGGGACTCCCAACACATCTGGGGGACATCAAGTAGAAGACAAATGTTTTAACCTTTGCTAACTTTATCAGCTGTAAACAAGAAGTCATCCATATTTACTGTATGATATAAACTGATTGTGCATTAACATTTATTTGGGTATAGCAGTGTACAGTATTTCTATGGATACATATCACAATCCCCACCTTCTTAAAAAGAAAGAAAACAGCCTCCTCCCTTTTGCTTCTTAATATGACTGCATTCAATTTCCCCTTCTATCTATGAACTGATGAAGAACAGACAAATAGATACTCATTTGAAATTCCTCAGTTTTCTTCCCAGAAGAGATTTATCTATCTATTGATTTCTAAGGCTGTCCACTTGATATACAATTCAATAGTGAACAGCAATTTAAAATTAGCAATGACAACAAACAAAACAAAAATGTATTCTTGGGATTCATAAGAGCTTTTTAAAAAAATTCTTCTGGTAAAGTTTTTGAATTACCTTATTGAAGTGGTAAGAAAGTGCCACCACAGCAAGTTTTGTTCTTTCACTCACTTGTAAGCCTCTCTCGTTACAATCATTTTCTATCTGAAATAGCCTTTTGGGATTTGGAGCATGGAGAGAAAGGGAAGATAAAAGATTTTACCTAGAAAAAGATGACATTCACATACACCTCTCAACTGTGCAAAGTCACCATACTCCATAAGATTTTCACAGAAATCTGCTTCACAGTTTCCCCAAAAAATTTAAAAAGCATATTTATCAAATTGAAAACCAGTAGAGAAAATCTTGGGTGATTTTTTTCTAATCGCATTTAAGCAATTAGATAAAATAAGTTTTGACCCATGAGCTAGCCAGCTCTTTCAAGGGAGAAGTTCCTAAGAGGTCAGAAAACAGATTCTCCAACTTGTTTCTGCTATGCAAGAGGATTTGTGCTTCAGCAACTGTTTCCACCAACTAGAATGTAGGGAATAGTATTCAAGGTGAGGTTCTACCTAGGTGTATCACAATTGAGGTCAATTGATGATGCACTGATTAATACTCTAGAACCAGAATCCTATCCAAGAATTCTAGGTAGAAGAAGGTGCCACACATCATATTGCTTGTCTTTCATATTGGAGAACATGCTATTAAAGAAATAATTATTGACTGCTTTCAAAAGGGACATTTAAATCAGTATTTGCTTTGCTTTTTTTAAATTGGTAAGTCAAAGAAGAAAGCTTCAGTTGTTTGAGAGTAAAAATAAATGTATTTCTTCTACTGCTTTATGTTATCATTTTAAAAAACTGAGTTTATTATAATCCTATAATGAGGATAATAAATATTTCTATTGCAGTTAGTGACAAACCCCAGGCTAGATCATTTCAGACATTCTGTTTCTTAACACATGCATGAAAAACTGTAAATGTGACATTATATGCATACAACAGAACTGAAGGATTACTGGTAATTCTTTCTGTAGGCAATATATTTTAAGGTAGCTAATGCACAACATACAGTATCCTTAGAATAACATTTTAATGCTAGTGTATCAGCTAAGGCCCTCCCCAAAATACCCTAAGAAGTGATTTACAATGAGGGCTATTATACTTTGAATATCCCAGTAGACTATTTTCAAGACCCTCTTGAGGGAGGAAACTACTTTAGGTGCACATTACATTTTGTGCCACTTATGTTTTACACAAATATGATTATTATTCAGAGTATAAAACTACGCGGCGAAAGTCGTTTTCTTGCCCATTTCCCCAAGCGTGCTTCGGGGTAGAGGGAAAAAAAACCTTGAACGCTGAACCTTTTAAGCGCTAGATGACCTTATTTCGGCTACGGCATGCTAAAGGTGTAACCGTAGTTACCATAAGCGACACATTTGAGTGAAGATAAAACAGCCTTCGAGTAAAGAGGACGGAGATGAACTTTATTTAACATCAAACCAGAATATATGCCAGATGCTCGAGACCTGCTTAAGGAGTGAGCAATGAGCGGAGCCTCAACCTACATAACGAGGGCGTTTGCACAGTAATTAAGTGTTTATTTTCAAAGCATGTGGGTCCAACCGCGGTAAAAGATTCAAAAATGTGCCGCGGGGGCGCGTTTAATTCCTTTCCCGGTTCTCCGGACGGGGTGGGGGCGGGGTGAGGGGTGGGAGTGGGAGTGGGCTGGCTAAAACCGCCTCCTCCGTTGACCGCCTCTCATCTGCCTGTTTACTTACTCGCTCTCCCCGCCCATCCCCCTCCTTCGCAGGGCACCACTGGCCGGACTGCCCACCTCGCCACTTCGGAGCCGCCGCCACTCCCGTCGCAGTCGCTGCCCAGGGAGACCTTCGCGCCCAGCCATGGGAGCGCTTTCCACTTGCCGGACTCCTCCTGCTCCTCCTCCTCGCAGCAGCCACACTCGCCGGCCCTCTACTACTCCAGCTCCACGCTGCCGGCGCAGAGAGTGAGCTCGCCCTTGTCCATGCAGCAGGTGGGCTCGCCTACCAAGCTCCAGCGGGCGGGCTCCGCCTCCGAGAGCGGCGGCGGCTACGGCACCACGCAGCGGGTTTCCTCCCCCAAGCAGTCGCCCAGCCGCCTCGCCAAGTCCTACAGCACCAGCTCGCCCATCAACATCGTCGTCTCCTCGGCGGGGCTCTCGCCTTCCCCGATCCGGGTCACCTCCCCTCCCACCATCCAGTCCAACATCTCCTCTCCCATTCATCAGCTGAGCTCCACCATCGGCACCTACGCGACCCTCTCGCCCACCAAGAGGTTGGTCCACCCTTCCGAGCAGTACAGCAAACATTCCCAGGAACTATATGCCACGGCCACTTTGCAGAGACCCGGAAGCCTAGCAGGTGAGAGAGACTGTGCTCTTTTTCCTTTTTCACTCTCTTGAAGGCGCATCCTCCATGGTCCGTTGAAACAGATCTATAATCCTGAGAAGTGAGAACGTTTGTAATTTTGATCGCTCTGGTTCGGAAAGGAGGGAGGGGCGGAAGGGTGATGCTCACGTTCTCCTTCCTAATCCCAAATCGTGCCTTAAGCGATTCCTGCTTGTAAACTAAACGGTTTCAACCTGCGGTCAAATAAGTGAGGATCCCAACAGAAAATAAGTGCCGAATAACAAATTGTATTCTCCTAGCCCTGTTGAGGTAGAAGTGAGGCACTGCTGATTTCATTGGGATTTGTTATAAAGCAAGAAGTATATTTAGGTTTGAAGTCTTTGCTGTTGACCCTTACCGTTTTTTTCCTTTCCACCATACTCTTCTTGCCAGGTAGAAAAGCCCCATGGAAGAAAGTTTTTCTTTTAAATCAGAACAATATATTCCTTGAATGAATGCATGGTTTCTTATTTAGCTGGGGTTACATTCTCTGATGCATAGCGATGCTATCAAACAGATTTTTAGAATTATTTCTTGTTTCCAGTAATATTAATCTTGTTTGATAAGTGCTATGGTTCCCATTCCTTAGGAAACACCTGGCTGTTATTTAAAAAGAAACCCTTGCAATTGAAGAGCAGTTATTGATCTTGGTAATCAGATAACTAAACTGCGTTCTTTTCAGTGGGGAATTTTTGCTGTTGTAAAAACCACTTGAAAGATACTGCTGTAACACCAGCTGTCATGCTCATGTGTTCTTTCATCTGATTTATGTGGCTAAATGTGACATTTAAAAGAATTAGTTGGGAAGTGTTTTTTCTAATACCTGGAAGATATTCAAGTATCTCTCCTTAAAAAAAAAAAGGTAGTTAGCAATCTATTTTAGCATTGTGCTGCATTATTGAAAAATGAGGCAAAATTAAGAAACAGATTTATTCTCTAATTGTATTTTTATAATATTCCACCCTTCAAAGAAAGGGACTGTAGGCTAGACTGAGAAATGAGGGGGAAATCCGGAAGAAATAATTGGCAAACACTTCCATAATTCTGTAAAAAAAACAAAAAGCCTTATGTATTCTATCACTAGGAATCAGTCTTGACTTAAGGAGAAGTCCATTTTTAATTATTTACTTGTTTGGATTGCTAATAATCTGCATTTGATGGTTCCAGTCAAGTGTCCAGTTCTTGAAAGGCCCGCATAATAAAAGATACATAAGATTATGAAAGATATAGAATGATCTGTGGGGTAGTTGCAGCCATGGTTATTACCAGAGAGTGGCAAATATTAAGTTGAGCAAATGGCATGTTGTTTCAATAGTACTAATACTTTCCTTTTCCAGAGAAGTGAAGAAAGTTGGAAAAAATGTGAATGTATGTTCAGTTTATGTCCTCTATAGCTTATAGATATAGGACTGTTCCTTGGTGGTATTTTTTATCTGAGGGTCCCTGCAGGCGCTACCTGCTGGATGTCTAAAAATAGTGTGATTTATCTTTTGTATCAAACTGTTGAATACTCATTTTGTCCCTGTTTAGCAAACAAAGGTATTGTTTGCTAAGTCTAGCAACTGATCCACTCAATAAATTACTGTTAGCTAACCTGAGGCCATAAGACTAATTTTCATGCAGCCTTTGAACTAATCTCAAAGCCAAATACAGAAAATTGGTTCAGGCCTTTGTTAAGAGCGGTGACCTTTTCTGCAGCCTGCAGCATGGAATGGAAGAAAACATAGTTTCAGAAAGAGAAAAAAGAGGTATCTGAGAAAAAGAGCATCTATATCTAATTTTGGCTCTGGACCCAGACCCTGCTTGCTTCCATCTCACGCAACAGACTACTATGAGGGGGCAGGAAAAAATGGCCTGTATTGACCGATAAGTGTCTTCTAGAGCAAGGGTCGCCAATCTTGGCAATTTTAAGCCTGGCAGGTTTCAACTCCCAGAATTCCCCAGCCAGCTTACAATCCATTAGCCCATATTAGACCATAAAAAGTCTTTTTGTGGTCCTTTTTGTGGTAATTAAACAAAAACAACAACCCTGAAGCTGTAATGGCAGATTTGGCTCATCACCTTTTTTTGGTTCCTATTCTGCACTTGGCCTCCCTTCTTCTTTCTATCTCCTCTTCTTCTGATGTTACTTTTTTGGCCAATGGAAGGGATCTGGTATGTCTCTTTCTTGCCAGGCAGTTCCTTCTGGGATTGCAAGGCTGAAGAGAGATCAAAGCAACTGGCAATTTAGACAATACAGGTAGTCCTAGACTTAAAACAGTTCGTTTAGTGACTGTTTGAAGTTATAACAGCACTGAAAAAAGTGGTTTATGACTGTTTTTCATACTTGCAACCATTGCAGCATCCTCATAGTCATGTAATTAAAATTCAGATGCCTGGCAACTGATGCCTGTTTATGATAGTTGTAGTGTCCTGGGATCATGCGATCATCTTTTGTGACGACCCGGTAAGCAAAGTCAGTGAGGAGGCCAGGTTCACTTAACAACCATATTAGTAACTTAACAATTACAGTGATTCATTTAGCAACTGTGGCACGAAAGGTTGTAAAGTGGGGGGGGGAACTCAACTATCTCACTTAGCAACAGAAATTTTGGGCTCAATTGTGGTTGTAAGCCAAGGATTATCTGTATTAAAAGCAGCAACATCATTTCTATATTTTCAAATTAGAAAAAGCATGTTAGAAAAATATGACCATTTTAACTATTCATTTGGCCTGTATTGTACATTCTGAATGCCATAGCAGAAGATATGGGCTAGATATATACTGCTTAAAAAAATAAAGGGAACACAAGCAGAAGACATCCAAGATTTGAATGAATGAAATAGCCTTATTAAATACTTTGTTCGTTACAGTAGTTTATACACTGCTCAAACAATTAAAGGAAACACGAACAAAGTATTTAATAAGGCTATTTCATTCATTCAGATCTTGGATGTCTTCTGCTTGTTTTCCCTTTATTTTTTTGAGCAGTGTATTTAAAAAATTATAAATGTTACTAAAGAAGTAAATAAGTGGCAAAGATTACATTAATACACAAAGTGGATAATATAAAAATGGTCCATGGATCATGAAAATAATTTCCTAAAGATGCTCATCTTATAAAAAAGAAAAATTAATTCCAGAGTAGATGATTATATAATTGAATCATCACCTGCATAGCAAGAACATGTGTTGTTGTGGTTTGGGGGTGGGAGGGATAGAGGAGTCTTCTAACTCAGCAGAGACATATGGGGAAAATGCAAATCAATAGTTTTTAAAACAACCCTGTTTGTCTTTGATAAGCAAGAGAAATTACAATTCAGTTTTGGCTCTTATCCCTGCTGAAAAGTTAGAGTGTGCTTGGAATCAGAAGATCTGAGTACTACTTATGCTTAAGTAGGCTGTTTAACTGTCTCTTCTGCTGTTTCTATCCACTGCATTGTATTTTGCTTTTTATTGGAAAGGGTTGAAAGTTTGTTTAGTGGGAGTAAATGTTATAGAGTGCATCTAAAGGGCCAGTTTTTGTGGACATATTTTGTTGAAGTTACTAATGAAAAACAAAATTTTAAGCATTGAATAAATTAGCTGTAGTCGCATATCTTTTTGTGTTTATTTAAAAAAAACCTTGAAAGCCTTTAGGAGTAAACAGTCCTTTTCACAGTGTTTGAGAAATAGCATTCTATTACTTCTCATCAGCTTTTTCACATGAATGGTTTCTTGGCTGGCTTATTTCTTGGAAAAATAATTGAGAAGGCCTCCTTCTACAGACTGGCGCCAATAAATACCCACAGTCTTTGTATAATTATGAATCTTTTCAGATTGGTAACTAGGACATTTTGACACATTATATGTTGAGTGAAAGAGCCTAAAGTTGACAATAGATGTTCTGAATGTATAAATCAATCAAGATTAACTGAAGCTTTCTTGAATAGTGAATGACAAACTGGAGTTTATTGCTCTTTGAAAAGGTGAAGCGCTCTTGTTGCTCTTTTTAATTTTGAATTCAATATGGTTTGATGATACCATTTGCTTATAATATTGATCTGAGTTTTTGCCACACATCCAGTTAATTTGATTCATAATTCCAACATTACCTAATTCTTCGTTCAGTGTTTGAGTGCTAAAAAAAAAGATGTAATCCATTCATGCTATCAGAACTAAGATGCAAAAATCTAGAAAACAAGTAGATGGAAGATAAAGATTTCTGTATCTTTTTCTTGCCCTCATTTAGCCTTTTGGCTTCTTTGCCATTCAAATCTGGTAGTCTTATCATTACATTAAACATTATGTTATTTCCTACATTTTATTACTTATTTCCTATATAATATTTAACACAGTACGTAATTCTATAGTGTGGGTAAATTGGAAGAGAAAATAATAGTAACCATAAACATAACTTTTTTCAAAATAGAAAAAAATAGACTTCGTTTGATTTCTGTTGTCGAAAGTGGGGTTTTTTGCTTTATATATTGTACATGCTAGAAGTTCAAGTCTTGTTCATGATAGATTATGACATCTCAGGAGAGGAAAACTGAACAAGTCTTTTGTTTTTTGTTTCTTAGTACTTTTTAAAAATTCCACTGACTAATGAACTCTTGAATCAAAGGATGTCTTTGTTACATATAAAACACTGCCAGATCTCTTCAATTAAACTCTTTGGAATCATGGTACTAGAACTGGCAGGATCGGGGATATATTTAAAAGAAGTATTGTAAGAAATATTATTTTGCCTTCTTACAAATAGAAACAGGAATTTTCACCATTCACCTTTAAAAAGTGATACAATAATGTTGCTCGTCATGTGAAAAATTAGATCCTCTGTTCCCTGCCCTGAAGGCAGTGATACAGTTTAGCATTCAGTAACTGCTAACTTTTTAAACACTGAGTAATCATAGCTGGCCCTTAACTCTGAGCATCTTATCTTTCTGGCATTCCATTTAGTTCCATTTAATGCTTGTGTAAGTAATGGCTATGAGTATAATTTCACAGGTAT